GAGAGAGAGAGAGAGAGAGAGAGAGAGAGAGAGAGAGAGAGAGAGAGAGAGAGAGAGAGAGAGAGACCTGCTTTGTTTGTTGTAGCCTGCTCCATAGCCGCTTGAGTACAGAAAGACCCGTTGTGTATATCCCGGAGATCTCCAATGCATGGAAGAGAAAACACAGTTGCTTGCACCGCCCTTCTTCCTAGTCCACTCAGGTGGTGCAGCTGGGGAATACTGCAGCTGTGCTACAGACCTCAGAGAGGTCTGCAGATCTGCTGCTGCCTTCATGCAAATCACTTTCAGCCTCTATGAAGGTGATCCATCCCTGTCATTTCCTTTCTCATCAAGTCACAATCTTTGCTTATCTGAATACACCTTCAACCTCGGCAAATCTTTCTGCCAACCTGGTGTGCTATTTGCTTCACCAACGTCATCCTGGTTTATACTTTGCAATGCCAAATTTAACCTGGTCAAAAAAAAAAAAAAAAAAAAAAAGCCTGGTTAGGGTGTAGTTGTCAAAACATGGTACCGCTTGTCGTACGAATCTCAGAATGGTTTTATGAAACTGATTGTCAACTGCATAAAAATGATAAAATTGTTATCCACTTATCTTAGTTATCTACCATTTTTGTCATAGTGAATGAGAGAGAGAAGGAGGGAAGCCATGTGGAACTAACTGCCTTTCCCAACCTCAGCACTGTTGCCAGCGGGTTAGTGAGAGAGGGAAGCAATGTGGTGGAACTGCCTTTTCCCAACCTCAGTCAAGCTGAGTCAGCACTGCTGGAACTTGGAAGTGGAAAAGTTCACTGGGTTACAAATGTCAAGAATCTCAACAGGACTGGTGCCCCCCAGAATAGAAGGGGTGTGTGTGTGTGTGTTCAAGAAAAAAAAATAATAATAAAAAAAATCAAGAATCTCAAGTATGTCCATTGTCCATCCGTTATCTCATTCAAAACTTTCTGTATTAATCTGTAACCTAAGACTCTGTTTTTTTTTTTTTTTTTTTTTTTTTTTTTTTTTTGAAGGCTAGGTCACCATCAAATGGAACTCTTGGTGGAACGAAGGGACCACTTCCATAGGGTGCGTGGTCAGATGGTGGCTGCTGGCGGTGGACTATGATGTTAATTTTTCCTGTTCGTAAAGCCCGCCAGAGGGTTAAGCTGTTTGTTGTTATCTCTGTTCAACTCAGTATGAACTAAACTCGTTGCAAATATCAAGTGTTATCTGCACCGAATAAACAAGTCACCACTTCAAAACGCACAGCTTTTTTTTTTTTTTTTGAAGACTAGGTCCTGGGTTCAGAATTCACAGAGAAGAGAGGACTGCCCGGCAATAGACAGTTTCAGCATGAGGACGGAGGAGAGAAGATACACCCGATAAGAGCACTCTGTCACGCACACCACCAATAGTATTTAACACTGAAAAAACACTCGGATGTTTCAATAGAAACCAAAGTAGCCTCAATAGAAAACAAGAGTACTGCAGCCAACCCTCAACGTGTTTCGTCTGCACCACAAACAGACTCTTCAGGAGGAAGAAGAGCACAATACTTTTTCTGGTTCCAGGTTCAAATCCTGACATGGAACGGAACAAAACGAACACTTGAATGCACCAAAAACTGCTCACGCTGCGGGTTCTAATCCCGTAATCCCAATAACCATAGCTCGTCTCTGGCACAAGCTTGCTCCATTTCCCACCTTTGACATCCCTTTTTTTCTTCTTTTTTTTTCCAAAGACACATGCCCCTTCTATTCTGGGGGGCAGAGAAGAGTTGAAACGGCCAAGGGCGCGTTACTGCTGACTCATAACTTCATAGGCTGGTGAGATCACCAGATCGACGACAGGCATGAACCCAGTCTGGAAGATACTCATCAGACGTCAAAGTACAAGTAGTCTCAGATCTGCACAAAGTCTCCAGTTAACGTATACAGTATCTCATTACCAATAGAATGGAGGGAGGATAGACAAGGGAGAGGGTGGAAGAGATAATCAAAGATCACACACTAATAGCCCAACCAGACCCACTTCTTCTCCGGGCTTCTTCTCCCTCCACGTCAGCAATCGATAAACAGTAACAAGTCCAATAAGTCCTGATCTCACAGAAGTGCCACGTGGCACTATTACCCCATGGAGACAGTGCAGACAATCATCAGCATTCAATATTGACATCAGACTCAGGTAAGTATCCCGCCCCTCAATCGTCCACGGATCCCAATCTCCCTCCCTAACACAACCAGTCACCTCATGTAGACAGCGTGGCCAGTGCCACGTCAGCAGTAGAGACAAGTGGCATGCGCCACATCGACAATGAAAACAGGTGGCAGAGCCAAATCAGCAATGCAATGTAGACAGGTGGGCGCACCACATCAGCAATACAATGTAGACAGGTGGCAGCGCCAAATCAACAATGTAGACAAGTGGCCTGCACCACATCAGCAGTGTAGACAAATGGCCTGCACCACATCAGCAGTGTAGACAAGTGGTCTGCGGCACATCAGCAAGATAGACAGGTGGCATGCGCCACATCAGCAATGCCTGGCGCACAGAACAGAGAGCGCCAGCATGCCGCCACAGCCCCACGTCGCCGTCCACAATGCCAGCACACAGCCAGCGTCCAGCTAGTGTCCAGCCAGCGTTCAGCCAGCGACCAGCAGTCAAGCTAGCATCGAGGCAGCATAGCAAGACTGAATGTTGACTTCCTGGGGACCCAGCCTTAAG